ATGCTCTTTTGTATAAGTTTCTTTGTTGACTTAGCATTTTTTTTATTTCATTGCTTATTATTCAAAACTCTATATGTGTCCTCGCACTTCCATTTGAGGTATTATGATTGCCTATTGCAATGCAAATGCCTACTTTTGGATACCAATATCGACTTTTATGTTTGTGTCATATAGTCTTATTCAATTAATCTTTTTTTTAATCATTTTGTATTTTGTTATCTTGTTTATGGTTTAAAACATAAGGCTATGTTGTCCAAGAGGGTTATAGATACCGTTATAGGACTTAGGTTATAAATTAAGATGGTTGATTATACTATAAATCTATGAACTTTCTTTGAGACCACATCTAGGGATCAATTCTTCTCTTTTTGTCAGTCGTGAGGTCCACTCTCGGACCAGATTGACAAGCCCCACACAAATCTTTGATTATCTGTCATGACCTTATGGCATTGTCCTCTCCCCCTCCAAGACATTGCAAAAACATTTGATCGAACGAGCAATGATATCATGTGTCTTTTATATTGGTAAATGACAACACTCTTTTGCATTTGAGATGCTGGAGGGCAGTCATCAGGTGTCTTTCTTTATTTAAATAATCAAAGTAGGACTTGATGTTTCATCAATTTGTTCTTCTGATATAACCATACCAGACTTTTGTTCTTTAAAATCGGCAGCTTCAAGACATTGAGGTATGATGGTGAAAATTTATATGCTTTGAATCAAACTGTCACCAGATACCTGTTTTGATTTTATATTTCCTTAGATAACTTGGCTAATGCATAATCCATGAACTCTAATTAGAGTGACAAGCAATGAATGACATCTGGGAGTTTTCCTTTGTTTAAAATCAATAAGGCTTTGATGCTAATCATCAATTTGTTCTAGTGATGTTACCATTACTAAAGTTTAGTTTTTCAGAAGTTAAAGCTTTTGGGACATTGAGATTTTTTGTTGACAGTTTTCTTGCTTTGAATTAAGACTTTCATCGAATCCCCATATAGACTTGATAGTTCCTTAGCTAACTTAGGCTAAGGTATCAATCTTACTATTATAACATCTAGGGACCCCAACTAGAGTAACATTAGGAATATTTTCAAGGCCTTAACTCTTTGATAATATATAAGGAGGGTAGGCATTAAACCTTATATAATGCGGACAATGAAGTTATGATTAACTGGGAATTACGAAATTTTTTAATTTTTAACCTTTATTTTGGATTGTTATTTTACTTATAGTTAGAGCCTCATACTGCACTTTATTGTTGGTGCGAGCTTCAATCATAATCTTATTGATTGAAAGAGCACTATCAAAATATAATTCTCATTATTTGTTTTCTATCATCAAGATTTGCTCACCAGGCAGACCCATTCAATGGTGAATCCATTGGAATTGGATGTGATACAAAAAATCAGCCAAAGTTTATCGTTTGACGGCTCACTAAGGACTATACTTAATATCAAATTATAACAAAATTATAGCCTAGTTGGCCAAGCCATCTGCTAGAGTTAGTCGGGTGTTTAGAGATTGAAGGGGTTTCACTCTGCAAATCATATTCATCTTATGGTATAATATATAATTCCAATGTTTTTGAATTAGAGGATTGTAAACCGACGACTAAGATAATATAAAACTTTTTTTTTTTTCATTCTCTTTCACTTTAGCAAGAAAAGTTTTTAGCAGATTCTTCTTGGGCTGTGGTGTACAATATCAATGATCTTTTAAAGATTGAAGCTGCTAATAATAGAGGGTGCAAAAGATATTGTTTAATATTGTCAAAAGCTTCTTGAAAAGATTAAACCTAATGTAAATGCACGCCTTTCTTTGTCAATGCTGCAAAAGATTGGCATTCTGACAAATTTGAATGAAACACCATAGGTAGACTATTCTCCTCTAAGGATATCTTAGTTGTGCGAGGATTTTACATGGTTTCTTTTTTAAAATTGCTTAATTTAGCGGGGTTCAATTTCTATCCCTCAATGGCAAAAAATAAACCTTAAAATTTTTTAAAAGGTATATTAAAAGCATTTCTAAAGGGTTTCATTTTCAAGCCAAACTTATTGAAGTTGTTCAAAAATAATTTTGAAATTAGCAACATTATCACCCTTTTTCTTACTTTTAATAATATTATTATTTATATAACATTCTACTTAAACATAATATTTCTCATCAATGTAGACATGACCTCCAACCAAAGAACACATATAGTTGAAATTTCTAGCGGAGAGCGTTAGGACAGACTATGAACATACCCTAAATGATGGTCATTTGAAAGAAGTTTGTAGAGCTTTTTGGGAAGACAAATGCAGGTGAAATTTATCAAATGGATACAATTTGGGAAGACAATTATATAGTACGAAGCATAAATCACTGCACTGTTAAGGTATGCGCCGCAGTTGATCTTTATTGCAGAAGAGAAATGTTATAGATTTTTTTCAGAATTAAAAGATTCGATCGGATAGTCGTTAGTGCCTTTGGGGATCGGTGAATACTCAATATTAGTAGAACGAGATAGAAAAATGGAGATTGATTATTAGCTTACTCAGAAGCGTAAGGAGATGCACTAGAGAAAGAATATTGATGAAGGAGAATATTTAGATCAATCAGAGAGATCTAATGGGAAGAAGTCCAAGTTTAATTTGGGTAGATTTAGCAGAGGTACGACTCAGAGTACTGTAGTCACTTATGTCAAATACAGAAGACATCACTTGATGGGCTCTACCATATGCTACTGACGTGATTGGTTTGGTCATATAGCAAGATATTGTCCATCACTTGGTCAGGAGAGCACTGAAAATCAGAAATCAAGCAAAGCTCCTTTATAGAAAACTGCAGACGAGCAGAGAATGATAGAGTCTATAGCTTCAGCTCCTACTCAGGCTCCTACCCAAATTCAACCAAAACAACCCGTTCAACCTCGAGTTTATTCCCTTACGCATTCTCTTCTCCAACCCAATGGATTATATTGAACCTCGAACCCCCCACATTACTTGAATTGGGATAAAGTTAAAAAATTCAAAAAAAAAAAAGACTGTTGAAAGTGAGTCAATGATGACCCTGTATGGATTCACCTATATAAACCACAACCAAGTTGCAAAAATAAGAGCTTGAATATCACTCGTAAATAATCCAAGAAACGTGACAAGTCTAGGAACTTTTGAAGGCACTAAGGAAACAATAACAGTAAATAGTGAGCTTGAAGAACCTACCATTATTGATGGTGATAGGATATGATGATTTTGGTGTTTTCTTACATATAAGGGTGTTTTTCTAGCGTATTTTCTTGCTGCAGTAACTATGTGTTCTTTTAGATATGTTGTTATCCAGATTTTGTTGATGAGAGGAGTATATTTAAATCATCTTATATCAGGTCTTTACTTTACAACCTCTAATTTTCATCATAAAATTTATGGGTTGTTCATATCGATCTGCTTAGTGAGGATGGCTTGCGGTCTGGTTATGAATTTCGTTGAAGAATTTTTTTTTTAAGTAGTGAAGATTGTGACGCCTTGTTTCATCTTCTTGAGGGAGTAGAAGAGAGGGAAATAAAATGAATGGTCGGGAACACGAAGGGGTATTTTGTCTTATAAAACGATGCATATAAGGGAGGCAGAGGTGAGATCGACTTACATGGAGAGTCGAATGGTACGTACGAAGGCAAGAGACTGATGAGTGCAAGCTAGGGCTTTATGTAGTCGTAAACAAGGACAGTTTGATGAAGTCCGTGGTTGTATTGTTGATGACAAAAGGCGAGGGCGACGGGATGGGATGTTGAAGCTGAGCAAAACACCCACTATGCATGCAAATCGTGATGTCGTGTTGGGAAGGAGGCTTATGAATGTCTCGTGCTATCGAATTGAAGGAGGAGTTTTGTGAGCATATCCTGGTGCGAAGATCAAGCGGCTCTGATGCGAAGGCCTAACGATTCTGTTTGAGGAAAGGACGACATTCGGGAGAAGGGGGGAGAGCTGAAACCAGTGAAGTTTTGCCCGCTCCATTTAGGGTTTTTAATTGAGAAAGGTTAAGGTAAAACATTTTATTAAATTAAGGCTTATGGAATAGAATTTCAGCTCGGAGGGAAGAAGTAGAAGAGCGCTAACTAAATGAGGGAGATTAATCCAAGTAAACTCTGGTAAGGTAAGTTTTGATTTATATAATAATTTAATTAATGAATTTTAAATATATATTGATTAGCAAAATAAAGTTAATTAGGGTTGCATAAAGTAAAACGATGGAAATTAATACTTAAATAAAGTAATTTTAATAATTAATTAAAATAATTTGCATAAATAAAATTTAAGCATCAATTTTAGAAAATCGAGATCAAGACAAAGTCAAGAACAAATTAATCGCCATAGAGTTGAGTGCTCATATTCTTTATGTTTTTTTTTTTTTTTTTTTTTTTTTTTTTAAAACCCCAACTTTTTTACCTCAACTTATTTTGTTAAAATTGGTGAATTCATAAAACACGAAAGTTGTGAATTTCAGTAGTATCAAGTGAGACCAAAATCATATGATTCAGATTAGAACAGATTAGAACAAGCGAGTTAATTTTAAAATAATAAAGATTTGTTGATTTTTTTTAAACAAACTCTAATTTTACTTGAACCATCTAAAATTGTAAAATTGAGTCCAAATGTAAGTTCAATTTTTTGAGCAAAAGTAGATTTTGAACTTGCTATAATATTTAAATAACTTTCTTTGATATTTTTATGTAATTTTATAATTTAATATAATTATTCTTTTTTATCAGAAAAGAATAATCCTTCCAATAGATATAATTGTACTTTGGTGAATTCAAGTAGAACTAATTTTCAAAAATATATTTTCGTTGGAGTAAAAATGATGCCAAAAACATCATTAAATGAGATTGCTTGAAAAATCTCTCATAATATGATATTTTACCCTTTCAATCTGATTACTGGTTGTTTTAAATATATTGACATGATTTAAATATTGGTATTATGCTCCTCTATTTTCCTGTAAATTATCTTTTGCTGCAGTGCCCAAATGGCCACACACTGTGCTCAAAATGCAAGTCCACGGTACAGAATCGCTGTCCAATCTGCCGCCATGAACTCGGTAATATTAGATGCTTGGTGCTCGAGAAAGTAGCCGAGTCTCTCGAACTCCCTTGCCGATACTCGAACGTTGGGTGCTTTGAAATTTTCCCATACTACAGCAAATTGAAACATGAGCAATTATGCAAATATCGGCCCTACAATTGCCCATATGCCGGATCTGAATGTTTGGTCTCAGGAGATATTCCCACACTCGTCGCTCATCTCAGGGATGATCATAAAGTGGACATGCATGATGGTTGCACTTTCAATCATCGTTATGTCAAATCTAACCCCCACGAGGTTGAGAATGCAACATGGATGTTAACTGTAAGTCCTTTGTTTTACTGGTTTTTCACAGTTTCTGGTTTCCGTGGTTGCTTATAGTTGGTCAATGAGTGTCCGGATTAGAGTTATCTCGAGTTCGAGCAAGGCAGCCTTGATTTAAAAGTCGAATATTTTGATTTGAGTGTGGACCATGTTTGAGTTAGGTTGAAGATGATCGATTTGAGTTGAATTTCAAGCTGATTGGTGCCAAGCCATTTAGTTTATAAATGAATTTTGATTTCCTGATTATAGAGAGAGGGAGTGTGTGTGTGTGTATGTGCGCGCGCGTGTGTGAAGCCGACTCCTGAGCCTCTGTGTGTGTGTGTGTGTGTGTGTGTGTGTTTAGGGGTGTAACTCAGCCAGACCGACTTGTGTACCAGCTCGGGCTCGGGTTCGGGTTCGGCTCGGTAAGTGCCTTGTTAGCTAAGCTTGATGAGCTAACAAGTCAAGCTCAAGCTAAAACTTAAGTCAGCCATGACTCGGCTTGTTAGCTCGTGATCAGACTCATTTAAGAAAATATTAATATAAAATAGGCTTAAAATATATTAAAATTTCAGACTTTGCCTTTAAATTATTAAAAAGGTTAAAAAAGAACAAGAGATTTTATATTTTATATCAAGTATTATTTATCTCTTAATTGACCATTCTATTTGTCATTTTAGCCGCCTTATTATGTATGACATAATGCATGAAAAGCTTCAATAAGTGCCCAGAATGTAAGCACCGAGTCATATATGCTGATTCCAACCTTGCCAGTATCGGTGCTTGTTCCTTGTTATTGTTCTTATATTCATCTGTTCTGCCCTGCAAATCCTTCACCCTCATGTTTCTTCTCTCTAATAACGGCGGGGGCACTGATTGCATATTTTTCTAAGTAGATATTTTTCCTTCAATAATTGGAAGATTTACATACATATCACTCAATTCCAATGTATTTACACACCTAACACGCCTAAACTTTTACTTTTTACATGCATACCATCCTGCCTTTGTATGATACCAGTTTTCAAAAGTTAAAATGATGGTATTTCTTAATGTGATATGAATGATCTGGGTGTTATAAATGTAAAAAATAAAATTTTGATGTTTGGTATATAAGAATGTGGGAAGTGGGTGGTATGTTTGTTAATGCCCCTTTCATTTTAGGAGTTATGCCTATGGATTTACATATCTAACACCCAAATCTTTCATATCACATCAAAAATATCACAATTTTGACATTTAGAATGTGAAATGCAACTTTTCATGCATGAATAAGGAGGGCATATATGTAAAAAATTGAAGTTTAGGTACTAATATGTGAATACATAGGAATTAGGTGATGTGTATGCATAAATCTTCCTGGACAATTCCTTATAATTGTGATGAAGAATGGAGCATCTAAGCCCTTTGATGTTGTAGGTTTTCAATTGTTTTGGGAAACACTTTTGTCTCCACTTCGAAGCCTTCCTGATTGGGAAGGCGCCCGTCTACATGGCGTTTCTGAGGTTTATGGGTGAGGACAGTGAAGCTAAGAACTTCCTCTACAGCTTAGAAGTCGCCGGCAATTGCCGAAAGCTCGTATGGCAAGGTCCACCCCGGAGCATTAGAGACGATCACCGGAAGGTTCGAGATAACCACGACGGCCTAATCATCCAACGCAATGTCGCGCTCTTCTTGTCTGGCGGCCGGCAGGAGCTGAAGCTGAGAGTCACCGGCCGGATTTGGAGAGAATAATGAAGGTGATGTTTTAGATCTTCTGTTAGGTTTTAGGGGAACAAAAGTATGGGGTTGGGAAGGATCTCATAGCAGTTAGTGCAATATATACATATTATATATATATACATATTATATATATATATATATATTAAAATTATATATATA